AGTCAAACGAACTATTTTCAACGTTTCTGGAACGTTTACAATCGTTCTATAATCGAACCAATATTCAAATTTTATGTTCGAATTTAATTCAAACAAATTCGAAATAGAAAGCCACTTTCAGCCTCATATCTCCCGCACCCTTATAGCTATCGAGACGCGACCACCCCTATGCACGAATGGAGACTTGGGGCTACCACCACATACAAACACCATTCATGTGCGATGTGTAGTTTTGGCAGAAAAGTGAAATATAGGGACATACATGTCCATTTATATATATATATAGATTTTTTCTATTTGTGAATTCGTCCCGGAAAAATTTATTTTTATTGTCATATTAAATTTACAAATATGATCTCTCAAATCTAACATAGTTTTTTTTCAAAATAAAGTACTATCTTTTTCCTTATGATTTCCTTTGTTATAATTAGCTAAGTTAAGCTAATTTTATTTCATAAAGCAATTAAAGCCTTCTCAAACATCCGTTTAAGGAATATAATAGAAAAATAATCATTTGAAACAAAAGTTCATTTACATTTACATTTTCCACCATAACTTAAAAATAGAATTCTAACTTAAAAGTTTTTAAGGAAAGAATCCTCCTTGTTTTGGATATACAATTAAACCTTTCAGTAATGAGTTGTATCTTCCATGCATATTACACATCTTTATCCTTTAACTCTGTTTTAAGTGCATTTGAATTTTTGGTCTGGTTAATGTTAATTATGCTTACCTTTTGGGAAGTTTTAGGAACACCGTATTAATTTTTCTTCTTTTTGACATTACAGCAGGAATGTACCCGAGAGAGGAAGAAGTCAGGAGATCAGGCAGAGGAAATAAGCGAGGAGAAACTAGGTCCCGATGGTTTACATTTAACTAACTAAATGTATAGAAAACAGTTACAAATATGTTAATACGTAAACAAAATTGTGAAGAACGACCGCGTAGACGTGAGTGAAAATCGTGTACATAAATACAACGAAATATCTTAAATACCCCACGTGTAATGATGTATGTAGACTAGTTGCAACCCCTTTAGGCCATAGACCCATCCGCGTCGAGACAAAAGTGCACGAGACGAAGCAGTTTATTTTTATCACATAAAAATGCATATCCGATCCGCCCGGAGTTGTTGCCCGTGTTTCGTTTTCTGGAGCCCACCCGAGACAAAAACCCGTTTGGCGATGAGCCGACTGGCAAAATTCATATGTTTCGGGGTGCAAGTTCTGGCATATTTTAAAATTATAATTGGCATCGGTGTCATTCCTTTTCTTATGCGCGGAAAGAACCGTTGTTGCAAACTGTAATATTTAAATATAAATATTGTTGTAAAATTAATCTATAAATGTTAACCGCTCGCAGATGCTTATTTTTTTAGACCAGAATTCTAAACCAACGCCCGCATCAGCGAGTGGAGCTGTTCTCTCAAAACTGCGTGGCGGAGCCGTCGCCGACGTCGAGCAATAATACTTGTTCGTTTCGCTTTCGACCGGCCGCACCCAGCAATAAATCCCGCCGAGGCTCCGGGAAGCCAATCCCCGACCGCCAGGAAGAGCCTTCAACTTTGGGTCAAACCTCCGTCACACATTGCTAATCGTCGCGGTTACCGGGCTTCAAATAATAATAGATCCGTAACCGATGTTAAATGTCCCACATGAGCTTATAACAGGTTGAAAAATAAATAAATCTTTTATTTATTACGTATTTGATTTATGTTTCTAACTTACACTTAATCACTTCTCTTTATTGTGAGAGCAGTTCGACAGGTCTACGGATTTGCCCAACAACTCGGACATTTCTTTTTCTAGAAGTCGGTGCAGCGAGATGCCATCTCTCTTGTATATCCACTTTTCACCCGTCCAGTCATAGCGTTTTGGTCCACTGTGGCATTTGGAAGAAAAAGAAACATTCTAAAATATTTAATTAAATATATAAATGTCACAAAGCCTGATTTAATCTGGCAATTGTTAGTATTGTTATTGGAGATTAATTCCAAAGAGCTATTTCCAAAAACATAATAATGCCAATTTAAAAACAAGTTAAAGTGAGTGAATTAAATTATTGGGATGCAATTAGTGTAAATTATAGGTCTATAATTTTTTCAGTCATTCATCCATCTTGAAAATAAAGTTAGATGAAATCTGAGATGAGACATGGAAACCTTAGGGCAGGGGCAGATCTACATAGGGACTAATAGAGTTAAGCCTTGGTCCCCCAAGCACCAAGGGCCCACAAAAATTGAACTGTCATCATAAATTTTTTAATACTTTTTCATTAACAATGAGCACTTATTATATAGTAAAAAATAGTTAATAGGTTAGGTTAGGTAAAAATGGGGCCCCCATTGGATTTCAATAAGCCCTAGGCTCAAAAAACCTAGATCTGCACCTGTCTTGGGGTCCACTATTGCCCTGATTAACTAACTANCTTTTTCATTAACAATGAGCACTTATTATATAGTAAAAAATAGTTAATAGGTTAGGTTAGGTAAAAATGGGGCCCCCATTGGATTTCAATAAGCCCTAGGCTCAAAAAACCTAGATCTGCACCTGTCTTGGGGTCCACTATTGCCCTGATTAACTAACTATATACGAACTTCCAATGCAAACCAAAAGTCATGTTATTTCAATTCAAAACCTTTCCCCCGAAAGCAGGGATAACTGGCACAATTCTATTGTTAAAGGAAAAGTATGATCTATGAGGGCAAGCCATTACTAATTTGAGGCAAAAAGCAAATATTTAAAATATGATTAAAACTTGCAGTCTGGCATTGTGACCATGTTACAATAAATAATTACTCATATATCTTTTATTTCTTCTTTATAATTTTTCATTCTGCATTGATATTTTCCATCAATTTGTAATCCATGATGGAATTACAAATAGCATGGAGACAGATTTGTTCATCACCTGTTCTGTTCTTGTAAAAAATTTGCACCACACAGAAGCAGACACAATCTTAACAAGAAATTGGTTATGTTATTGCTGGAGTTTTTTGTAAGATTTATAAAAAAAATTTGTTTCAAAATTTAAACAAACAGTACAATATAATTAAAACTTAGTTTCTTCTCTAGTAATTATGATCGTTTTTTACATATATTGCATTTGCCTAATTGACGACGACAATGTTAATTTTTAACATACAGGACAACATACCATTTTTGTTTGGGTGCAATGCAAACTCTGAGGCACTATTGCAAGTTAGTATTGCCAGAATAATGTGGACTTTAAGCTTGTCATTTTATCAACTGATAAAAGTAATATCAAACTGCATTTTCCAAACCTTTATTCTCTACAAATAGGTAAAAGTGACAAAGAATGTAGATACTTTTATTCCAGAACAATTAAGTATAAATGGTAAAAACCCATGTATATCAAAATCACACCATCAAATTATTTTTTAATTTATTTTTATAATAGTAAAAACTGTTTAAAGAGGTTTCCTCTTTAAACAGTTTTTAGTATTATAACTACACTGATTAAATGTAATGCAGTTACATTTTATAGTAAAATGTTATCGCAGCTTGACTAAAATTAATCCAAAGGAATTCGAACTAAAGCTAAGTGTACCAGAATGTGAGAATTGAGAACTATTTGGTTGAAAAGTTCTGATGGATATTCAAATACTGAAAACTAGCATTTTGCTCTGCCATTGGAAATTCCAATTGCATTACAATAATATCGATTCCAAGTTATTCTGTGAAGACTTCTTGAGAAATTTTAATTAATACTCTGATTAACTGGTATTTCAATTTCTAATTATCGACATGTTTCAAATACTCGGTACTAGTTAGTTACTGACTACTCCATAAGAGATAAAGTGGCAGCACTATTACTTTATTCTTATTTTCACCAATTACGTCCTTTGCATGTCTTGACAACTCGATTTCACCACTGGTGAATTCCGATAAAGACTAATATACAGTAGAGCATCGATTATCCGAAACAATTCAGGACTGGAATTATTTGGATAACTGATCATTTACGAAAAAATATATTAAACACAAAACTGTACTGTATACATTTTGTATTATACGTCTTACAAATACATATCTTATACAAAGTAGTATATTAAAGTAGGCCTACAGTTTAGGTTGGCAGGGAGGGAAAGAGTGCTGCAGTGCCACAGCCCTAGCGGAAATTTGAATTTGCTGACTGGAACACTTTTAGTTGATTGGTATTCAGATAATTGTATATATATATTTTTATTTATTTCACATCCATACGTTTTTTTCTTTGTCTGGACTTTTCTCTGAAAAGATTAAAAATTGTTCATGGAATAAAGTTTGACACACACACACTGTAATGAACTTATATGTGCAAGTGATTTATCCACAAATGGAATCTTAACTTTATGCTTTATCCAGGTTAAGTTAGAATTTCCAAAAACCCCTTCCATTTCCAAGTCAGAGAAGTTTTCAGCTTTAGTAAAATTTAACATGGAAATTGCTCCATTGTGAAGAATTTTCCATTTAAACAGGTTTTATTGCACTTGTTTAAAAAAATTGGAATTGTACTATAAATCAGAATATTAAACATACAGCAGTTCTAATTTAATCTCTCTTTTTAAATCTGTGTTCCTTAATTAATTATCAAGATTTAAACTTTAAGAATCATTGAAAGATGAGCCATGTTTCGATCAGCTGTTGACAAGCAGAATGCTTGACACAATTGTGTAAAGCTTGCTAGAAACAGATTGGCACAATTGATAGAAGAATTGGGCATTAGCAAAGAACATAGTGAGAAGTTCCTCACTTCAAAGAGGTCATTAAGGATTGCATGTGATGGTAGTTCTCAAACAAAATGTTTCCAAGGGCACATTTGGAAATTGTAATCGGTTTTACCGGTGACTGTCAGTAGTTACCAAGGCATTTAGAAAACGTGATCTAAATAACCAATCATGTTTAAAAATCACTGTTATGACTCAATTTATCACAGTGTGTCACAAGAACTTTGAAACAGAAATATATACAGAAACTAAGATGGATCTTCCACATGCAAAATATTAAACCAAGCAAATATAGAAACTCCCATGTGACATCATGGGATGACATCACACCCCCACAATGCATTTTGGATGCCTTAAAATTCAGCCCTCTTTATGCTCCTAATTCTCTGCCGAAAACCTTCATACCAGATATTGAATTAATTACTAAAGGTATGAATGACACGCGTCAGGATTTTTTTGTTGAAAAACCAATTTCCAGACAAGACACGTAGAAAGCAACAATTCAGGTATGCGACAATTTTGAAACACTATATGCAAATCACACTAGTGGTTGGAACAAAATAACGTGGTCTGATAAAAGCAGATAAGTCAAAGGGAGTAGTGTTGCTCAAACAATCAACCTACAATGAGAAATTAAGAGAATATGTTGCAACCACGGAATGCCAACTAGCACCCATCAACTTTTTGGAATCATTAGAGCAAAAGATCAAAAGATTCACATCCACTCCCTTGGCATGTCTTTTACATATGCAAGGCTCCAGTCCGTGCACCAAAAACACCGAGAATTTTCACATTCACCAAGACTCACAAGCCAGGAAACCAACTACGCCCAGTGATTGAGTAATGTAATTTTCCAACATTTCTGAGCGAGAAACACCTGGTCAAATTCTACTGTGCTAAAGCTACTTATCATCTGTTATCAGTCAACAACTCACTGCAGGTTATAGAACACCTCAATACCATTTCTCTGGTAGACAATGAATACATGACAGTCTTAATCAATGTATCTGTCTATAAAAATACCTCATTTTGTGCAATAAAGGATTTCCTATTTGCCAACATCAATAATGCACATAAACATCACAATCATATACTGGAACTTGCACATCTTGTATTTTATACATCTTGTATTTTATACATCATTCTTTGAATTTGAGAACAAGCAAGGTATACTTACAAGGAAGAGGTGTACCTATGGGCAGTCTCATGTCAGCAATACTTTGTAAACTGGTGGTGCAACAATTAGAAAACAACATTCTACCCAAATTCCAACACCTCATTATCTTATATGCTAGATATGTTGACGATATCTTCATCTTGTGGCAGAGAAAACCAAACTTGCAGCACTTTTTAAAAGCAATCAATGATAACCCCTATAGATTACTCCTACAATTAGATCAGAGATCGTATTCTGGTCATCGTCTGGCTTGTGATGTACGTCACAAGCCAGTTGCTGATTGGCTAATCATTTGTTTATGTCTCGAGAGATCATTGAGTCTCTCCAAACATGATTCTAGATGACTTTCTCTCAAAGATTCTCTCGTCTCAGAGATGAGAAGATAGTTGTCTTTTGTTTTTTGCCTTGATTTCATTATATCCAATAACTGGGATACTACTCACACAGTACAATTGCTGACAGATTACATTCTCTATCTCAAGAAAGAATACTTCAAAAGAAAAAATGCTTTTGAATTTTTTCTAGTGCCTACTCGGAAACACCACTGATTCCATTTATTTAAAAATTATCCTACATCAATTACTGAACTATTGAATATGCTGTTAACCTTATCCATATCTCTAAGTATTTTTTGAAATATTACCATCTAATTTCTTCTTAACTAAGTACACACACTTTTCTAACTTAAGTTATTAAAATTTTTATTTGTTAAAAGACAATTTGACATTACAATCTGTAAAAACATTATAAAACAAAAAACATAACTCTGTCAAAAATTGTGCGCTTTATTTGAACACGGTCTTTCCTTACTACGTGATCTATAATTATGTACTCTGCCTTTTTGAAAATTTTAGAATTTCATTGGTTAAAATTCTATACCATTGCACGCACAGATAACCCAAACATGTATAATTGACTTAATAGAATCGTGACATCATCAATGAAGACGAGATTGTTCAAAGTGACCAGAATTGC